TCCACTTAAATTGGCATTCGGCGGACCCAAATTGAACAAAACTTGTGAATTACGCCTCTCGCCGTTATAATCTGACATTTGCAAAATAACACTGATTGCTTTCAGCATTTCGCTCATGCACTGAACTTAAAATAAGCGCGTCTCATGTGTTGTGTTTGTGCCAGAGGGAAACGAAGATGGTTGATTAAGTATGGTTCAAGTGTGAGCTCATTCCCGCTGTGAAGTTATTCTTGTGCTTCTGATTTGATTTGTTTGGGGATCTTGATAAATGATTTATTTCGCAACCTCAGTATAAATTAGTATTATGATTTAGCAAAGGAGCTAGCCCTGAAAAAATACAAAAAAAATGTACATGTACGTCTAGTAATATAATATACTATATACTAGATGTACATTATAATAATATAATGTACATCTAGTAATATTTTAGTGTGTATGGTTTTTAAACGAGTGTTATTACAGCTAAGTGGATGAACTGCGCACCTCTTCTCTAAACCAGTATTTTTTTTCTTCAGTGAGTAAACGCTTTAATAGTACACTGCACCAAATACTGAAATGACTTGGGGGCTTTCTGGTCTACTGGGTGACACATCATTGACCATTTCCAGCTATTCCTCAGGGGCGCATCGTCATCCATAATATCTAACAGAACTAGTGATGCAAACTATCTCTGCAGCTGTGTTTTTGTCAGAAATCAATATAAAGATATCATCTCTAACTCCCCTTTTTTTTAATAGTTAATGTCCCCAGAATGGTTTCCAGTGTAACGGTCGCTTAAAAAAAGAAATTAAAACTTACATTCAGTTCAATTAAATTGTATTTATATAGCACCAAATCACAACAGCAGTCACCTGTTGTAAGGTAAAGACTCAATAATACAGAGGAAACCCCAACAATTAAACGACACTCTTTGATCGAGCATGTGACTGTGGAAAGAGAGAACAGGAAGAAAACTCTGTTATGTATGTCTTATTATGATCAACTAATATAACCATATGTGCATTAACTACACTCACTTGTAATGGCTAAAGGACATCCCTGTTGCTGGTGATGAGCTGGAGGGGTAAACATTTGGAGGGCCAACCACACTCAAACTTGCAGCCAGTTAAAAATCGCTGGTTAACCTAGCAACCTGACATGCAGGTGAGGGTACTGTGCAAGAGAAGCACACACAGAAGACGGGAACAACAGGCTGTGCATAAAATTTGAACACAAGCTCCAGGCTGGAAAAGTGAGGCCAGAGGGAAATCTGCTTCAAATCTGCTTCCATTCTTTCTCCGGGATTTTCTCCTGGTTGCAAAAAGAAAGTAAAATTACTGGACTGCTGACATGACCTATGACCTCAGTAAACACTTTCCTGAATGTTCTGTGTTGGTTTCACATCCTTTTGAAAACAAAAGAACAAGTTAGGCTTGCTTTTGCAGTTACCAAGTTGCTACTAGGGATGCATGCGACTACTTGATTACACATTAAAATGTTCTGCCTCTTGCTAGTTGGTACCAAAGATACTAGTCAGCTAAGTTACTTATTTGGTTTTTATCAATAAGCAGTGGCAGCTCCATCCCGGTGAGAAATGTTGTGACGCCACCAGCCACAAACCAGGGCTGTGGTTTGTTGGTACTGTGACATTAAGTACTGTGACTGTTATATATGGCACAGTGTCCAACAGATTTACATTTAAAACGCAACTTGATTATCAAGACATGTGATTAGCGGCTTCAAATAGCTCTCAAATACATGTGCAGTTATTGTATGGCTGATATTTAACCTCATCCATTAGATTCACTTCAGTTCTGAATGTTCTCTGAGGGTTGACTCTTTTAAATAACTAGTTTCCAGGAGCATCCTTAGTTACTACTGTATGTGAGTGTGTAGCTTGAGACTACAACATAGGAATTCAGTGAGGTTACAGTGGCAACATCCATCTTCTATATACAGTTAATGTTTGGAGCCTTTCTGTTATAAAACAACCAGTGTGAAATAAAGTCAATAGAGCAGCTGTCATGTTTGCTAATGGCTAAAGCCTGTGTGTCATTTACTTGGTCGGAGCCGGCTGTGCTGCAGTACTAAACACAAATCCTTTTATTCTGTGCTGCAACTTATTACAAGAGCATTGCTGATCCTTAGTAACTGAGCTAAAGTGACTTTGGCTCTTGTCTGCTCGCTTACTTACATTGTCTGCTGCATTCTCGGTCTGGATTTCATCTTGCGCAGGATTAAAGCTGACAACAACAGCAACAACAAAAAATGGGTCACTATCCAAATATTTACAGACCCCCGCGTCAAAAATCTCTGTTCTCTCACAATAACATCCAAAAAGAGCTCGGCTCTCCCATCGACTCATCATAAGTAACGTTATTATCCAATTAAACGCCACAAATAATTCAAGTTAAATGTTAATGACAGTATATTTCTACAAGGAGTTCATTAAAAATATGTGGCACGCTTGTGTCAGCTATATTTGTCGGTCTAATCCAGTGTTTATTAGGCAACATGCCCGGTTTATAATGTCTGCTAATGAAAATGCTCGCGTGTCCAATCGGGGTTACTCAGCGTTTACTGCCTGTGTTTTTTTTTTTCTCCACAGGTCACATTCCATCATCACTTGGGGTAATCCTCCGGACCACGGACAAGATTGTTTGGGCAAATGAGTTTGAGCGTGAGTTGCTCAAAAATCACACTAACCTATTTAACCAAAGTAGCGTTTCTTTTCTCCAGATTTAGCCTGCCTCTCTCTCTCATGCTGTCATGCGTTCTGTTTTCTTCCCAGCCATCGAACTGACCTGCTTAATAGAGTCCATCTCGACAAACAACCCACGGATCGAGTGGAAAAAGATTAAAAATGGTGTTCCCAGTTATGTGTACTTTCAAAACAAGATAGCAGGTAAACCTCTTGGAAACTGTCTTTTAGAGAAACCAGTAGAGCACAGTGTTTCAAAGCAAAGTCGCAGCACTCAAAGCTTAGCTGAGTGAATGCTACCTTGAAAGACCTTGGCTCAGAATTCTGTTTTTAAGCCGTGAAGTCACGCTGTGTATTTGAATGAGCAATTGTAAAGTGTTTTTCAACCCCCCATCTCTCTCTCTCTCTCTTTCTGTCGTTCTCCAAAAGGGGACTTGGAGAACAGAGCTCAGCTCAGAGAGCCGGCCAACATTCTGATCTTCAACGCCACTCGATCAGACACAGCAGAGTACCGCTGCGAGGTGGCCGCCATCGATGATCAAAGGGACTTTGATGAAATACTTATTAGTCTTGCAGTAAGAGGTATGGAGAGCAGAGCTAAAAGTCACTGCATGTCTGTATCATCAACCCTCTAAAGTTCTAATCACACGTTGTTCTTATGATCAAATAGATATTAAGATTATGTGGCAGCTTATACATTTTACACTCAATTTACTTCTGAAATATAAAGCTACATCATGATTGCTGTCACTGTGAGGTTGCCAAGCATCTAACCGTTGCCTTTGAGGTGCTGGTAGATTAAGCTAGTGGCCTGCTGGGACAGCAATCACAACCATTTAACACCCACTTACATAAATCACTCGGGATATCTGGGGCTTGTGGCGACGTTATAACAATTCCAACTTTAACCTTACGTATCACTTGATGACAGTTCTCTTTGTCACCATACAGTGGCTGAGAACACACTTCACCTCAGGGAGTCGCAGTCTTTAGACACGGAGCCTGTAGCAGACCCTGGCCTGCACACAGAGAAACACAAAAAACAAGTGCCAGCAGTGTTTGCTGTATGTGGCATAACCACTGCCTGTATATAAATTGTGCACCACTATGGACTCTATGGACAATAACCCTGTGTGTCTGAAAAGTGAAGCCTGTGTGGATGCTCTTTAAACCTGCATTCTTTATAGTGACCAGCAGGTGGCAACACCTCTGGTTGCAAACAGATTGTGTGGGAGTCAATGAGGAAATCACCCACTTGATCTTTGAGCTCAGTCAACAGTTTCCTGATTCATTTTATGGACGTATTTGCTACTTATAAATCCTGGCCAGCAAAGTATGTTGTTAATTCTATAAAATATGATTTCATTAAGATAAAAATTGTCAATAAGGCAGATCTAACTGTTTCTCAGTTAGATCACTCACTCATGACCTCTGGTTTCAAAACACAAGATATTGAATTCAAGGCATAAAGACAGTAAATACTTTAGAACAGCCTAAAGGTTGTGGGGAAACTCAACACACTTCCTGATGAAATGTTATCCTTTAGCCATTTAGTAAGTAAAAGTATCGCTTTCAGCAGTGTGTAAATGCTACACAACATTCGGCAGCCTGATGTGAATCTGCGCTTTTTGTGTGTAGTGAAACCTGTTGTACCACGGTGCAGCGTGCCAGAGGCCGTCACAGTGGGAACATCAACAGAGCTGCGATGTCTGGAAAATGAGGGCTTTCCCGCTCCTCAGTACCGTTGGTTTCACAACAATGAAGAGCTTCCACAGGATCCCAAAAACAGCGCAAAGTTTGCCAACTCTTCCTACAGCATCAACCCCGACACCGGAGGCCTGGTACAAAAATGACAACCATCCTGTTGTTGCTACATTTATGACTTTATCATTTCAGTTCCTATTGTCTGTGCAAAATATCTCTTGAGGCACGGCAGCACTCAGTATTTACTATTATTATTGTTAAATGAACAGATGTAAACTTCTTCTCCCTGCCTGTCTGTTCTGTTTGTAGACAGGACTCATTAGTGCCAAGTATTCTCTGTCAGAGCTTATCTAATTTAAATGTTACCCGCTTAATCTAAATAAAACCTTAAGCATTATATGACTAAGAGCAGGATTAACCCTCGTGTGGAAAAAGAGCCAGTAAGAACACTTATCCAAAACCTGGCATATGGAACAAGGATAATGTTGCATTTAAAGCCAAACTGATGTGTTTCCAGGTAAAAGTTTAACATCTGGCAGAAATTGAACCATGTTATAAAACATAGGGCGATGCCCTCTAATCTAAAATCTTACAGCAGTATTAAAAGCAGCCCGTAAATCCATGTGAAGGCAAAAATGTCGCTATATTCAACCACAGCCAGACATCCTATTGTTGACAGTTCGTCTGCGTGTCAGTGCACTGACAGTTTTCTAAAAATGTCTCCACAGAAATTTCGAAGGGTCAGGAAGGAGGACGCGGGGGAGTACTACTGCCAGGCAAAGAATGATGCGGGGCATGCACAGTGTCCCACGCAAATAATGGAAGTCTGTGAGTGACATTCACACCAGCCAAGCAGATCTTTTGACAGCACTTTAAGCCAAAAGCAATATCAGACACGTTCACTCTCAAGTTTCAGGTTAACACGGCAAAGAGAAAAAGTGTGAAATAACAGAAGGAAGCTAAAACATATGAACACAGACAGGACAGACAGGCGCGGCTTCACATGTAGGAATGAAATAAACTTTATCTCAAACCAAACATAACAATATTTTTCATTAATTTTACCCCAAGCACCACTGTTCCCACTAAATATTATATAAACTATTTATAGGCCAAGCATACTTTGTGCTTATAACTGCCATTTGAAGGCAGCTAAGGGAAACTAATTCACTCTGCTGAGCATCATCCCTTTGCAACGAACTGGATGCAGGAAAGCTCCAGCTGTCCAGGTCAGTCTGATCTCAGCACCTCGCTGGGAAGCAACAGTTTCAGACACCCACGCCCCTGAT